TCACGGCCCAGGACGCCGGTCCTCGGCGCGGCGGCCCGGCCGCGGGGGCCGGGGCTGGGGTCCGAGCCGAGCCCGGCGCTGCGTTCGGGTCTTCCCTCTGGGGTTCGTGCGCTGACCCTGCGCACTGACCGCAAAGCCACAGGGGCGGGCGCGGGACGCGCGTGCTTTCCTGAGTCCTGGCTGCTGGACCGTGTTCCGTGCACTCCTGGCAGGTCTTCAGAGTCGACCCTTTAGGGTTCTGTTGAAGCACTGGACTTAGAGGGTTTAGTTATTTGGCTTTTTTACGTGAACTCGCCCAACCACCTAATTAGTAATTTAATTACAAAGTAAAGGACCTAATGGGAAACAAGGCTTTTAACAACGTTGATTTATGCTCGTAATTGTACCCACAATTTTCTCCTTTTTAAAATACAAGAATTAAAAGTTACGTTAAATGTGAGAAGGTTTAGTCAGACATCCCACCAACCTTTTAAATGCTGGTGCTTTTGAGACCCCAGATCTGGGGCTCAAAGACAGTGGTAGCAGGGGACCCGAAGCAGGAAATGGTCGGTAGGGTGCTTTTAGTCAGCCCAGCATGAGCAGACTTGTGAGTGGGCCCACTTGTCCGGTGAGAGGAGATTGGAGAAGAGCTGGCACGTCTGTCTTGACACAGACTGCACCCAGTGTTCCATGTTGCAGCCTGAGAGCTCCCCTCACCCACACCCGCCCTTTGTCAGTTTATGAAAATGTTGATCTAGGCTGGCCTGGAAGGAATTCAGCTCTGAGCTTTTAGCTGAGAGTGAGAGTGCAGTTCGAAGCAGGACTGGTTGGAGTGTAAGCCTCTCCTTTCCTATTGGCTTGGTTGAGCTAGCTGTTAGCGGCCAGCAATTCACTTCATTATCTCCTTGAATCGTCACCACCAACCCGGGCTCAGGTGCTTGTGAACATGGTGGCAAGCTAGCGTTTGCAAAACTGAACCACAGGTCAGGTCTACCAAAGAGATGGGCTTAAGTTTTTAAAGCCTCTTTATCTTGGTTAAGATAGCTGTGGAAATTGTTTCCATCTGTGGAAATGAATTCTGTCCCCAGGCAGTGTTTATTAGAGTTTAAGATTGGTGAGAACAAAAGCATCAAGTTAGCAGAAGGAAAAAAAGAAAGAAATTCTTATCTCCAGCTGAGGAATGTTCGCAGAGCGTTGTTGATGAGGGTAATTTGAATAAAGTCCACAGGAATTTTTTCTATATCTCATTTTGTTCAATTTTGTGGTGTTTCCATGTCATTTTATATTTATAACTGCTTTCCAGTTAAAAAGCTATCCAACCTATCGTGACTTTGTCTTTTTTGATTGTCCCAATGCACTGACAAAATTTGCAAACTATTCCAAAGTTGTTAAACCGAAAGGAAAAGTAAAACCAAGGACCTTAAATAGTAGTTGGCTAACTTCTCATTTCAGATGAGATTTTTCCATTTTCAATAAAATATTGTTCTAGAGTAAGCCAATTTCTTTTCTTTGTGTCATTCTGAATATGTTTTAATGGTGTATCTAGATTTACAGTATTTAGGCCACTGCAATAACCTTTTGTTTTGCTTCTTGGGACGTTACAATGCCACTAGCATTCAGTTCTGCATTCCATGTGATGTTTTTCCTGGTTGACTTGAAAAATTGTGGCTTAATTTGGGTACATAACCTGTATATTCATCTTAGTTTGGAGTCCCAGAGATTTTTCTCAAGGATCCCTAGTTAGTGGGGAAGTACAGGATCTGGAGCCAGCCAGTCAGACCCAGTCCAGACCCCTGTGCGCTGCAGAGACTTGGTTTCTCTGTGGGGTTAGTGAGGATTTTGTGAGGTAGCATGAGAAAGTTTTGTGTGGTGCTCCTCCTCTGTGCAGGGCTCACAGCCTGTGCTTAGTAACTGTGTGAACTTTATTTTAAACATCCCTATTTTTAGAATCTTTAAATTTTTAGTGAAAATAATTACACATAGTAGTTAAAAAAAAAAAGTCTGTGAGTACAGAAGGCTTTATACATGAAAAGGGCTAAGGCCACCTCCCTCCCCAGACTTGTTCCCCAGGGAAGCAGTGCTGAATTGTGTTGGTGTTGCCCTCAACTGTTTAACCTCCATTTCTCTAGCTAGTATGCAAGTGCGTTTTTATCCATTTTAGACACTGGTTTTTGCTGGTGAGTGAGGTTTTCGTTCACTTAACCCTTCCTACTGCCCACATCCTCAGTTCTCTCTAATGTAGTTATGCAACCTCTCGGATTCTTTACTGGCTGCTTTTGTAATTGTATAGGTTGTACTTACAAATTACCTCCTTGTTTGTGATTCATAGGTGTATTTTATTAGATGAGGACTCCCCACTTTGCAAGATGAGGGTATCAGTGTCTCTACTCTTAGCACTTTTTTCTCCCTTTTTCCTCCTAATTCAATTACCTGTACTTTTATGCTATTAAGAGCTCTGTGTCCTTTCAATTCTACCTTAGGTAGATTTCCACATTTTTCATGTTACCATCTTGAAAAATGTTTGATAGTTTCTCTTCAAAAAACATTAGACTAATAAGTGACACAAAATGAGTTTTATCTAAAGACAGATGTTGGATTTAAATTGGACTCTCCAAATTCTAAAATTTTTCCCCAAATTGGTTTTAGATGCAAAGAAGTATTGCCATTTTCCGCACAGAGTTAACGTGATAATTTGTTCAAGATTTCTTTACAGTAACTGCCACTTTTTAAGTTAGCTGTGTGTGTGGTGTTTGTGTCTGTCTTTATTCAACACGAATATTCTGGAAAGAAGAAGTAAATACCTAGGGAGTCTGTTTCTACTTTAATTTTCTTTGGTGTCACAAAGTGTGTCTTTCTTATTGGTGCTATTACCTATATTTATATTGTACTTTATGAAGTTTTCAAGAACAATTGTATTAAAATTCTTTCAGTGACTTAGTTTTTGTTAAAATATGGTTTTACCATATTTTATAATATTTAAAAATTAGAATAAAGCTGAAGAATATTTGTTCTTTTTAATTCATATCTGAAAGAAAAAAATTAAATTGATTTTGTTGGTAAAAAACAAATGTACTTAACATTGCTATTAGAGAATCAAGGATATCTCTCTTAACAGTTCAGATCTACTTAGAAGTCCAAAGAACTACGTTGTGATTGTAGCCATTAAAATAAACTCAAACATCTGTGTCAGCCACCACTCGGCCTCAGGGTTAGAGGGGCTGCCTCTGCCCCTCCTTACAGTGGCCAGGTCCTCCATCCCTGCCCGAGTCCTACATCTTGTCGGGATGTCTCTCCAGTTTAAAACACTCTGTTGAAGTTCATTTTTTGTTGGAAATTCTCCCTGTGACCCCAGCTTGCTTGTCCTGTAGTCATATCTGAAGGCATCTCCCATATCCCCTCTTGTCATTGTCGAATGTACTTATTTCCCAAAACTGTTCTGTATGGTATTTCTAAGACTCTGTCAGTAGTCTACAGTCAGCAGAAGGGAAAGACGTACTTTCTAAATTGCTGACATTCTTAGCACATGAAGAATGTTGCCTCTCATGCTGGGCTACGTTGGGGAAATGGTTACAGGATGGGGCATTGAAGATGGGACTTGGAGAGTTGCAGAGGTTGGCCAGGGACAGGTGTCCAGGTGTCCAGGCAGAGGGCAGCATAGGTCAGATGAGGGGTGTGGCTGAGCCTAGTGCCCACGTGGAGAGTGGTGAGGCAGGATGGGAAGCATCCCTGGGCCTGCGTCTTCACGTCTGCAATGAAGGGATGGTACCACTGGTGCCTCAGTGCCACCATGAGGAACAGAGCCTGCTCTGGAGCCTCCACCCCAATGCACTGCTGTATGCTGGTCCCAGGTCCCAGTGAGCTGCAAACCTCCTGGGGCACCAGTGTGAAGAGGGCTGTGATGGGTCCAGGAAAAGCATCTCACTGTTTGCAAAACTCCCACTTAGTCAGTAATACAGACATCCTTCCCATTCTCCACTAAATACCATGAATTGAGAAACTAACGTGAAAGTGTGCCTTTTTCCTTTCCCGAGTCAGTGAGCATCCTGTCTGGAAATATGCTTCATCTGGAAGGGCCTTGCCAGAGTGCTGGGTCCTCGCCTCCTGGGCCTACCTTTGCCTTACCCTTCAGGGTTAAGTGGAAGGTTCCAGGTGAGGTTTCTGGGTGAAGGGGAGCACCTGGGTGCATAGAAGGGTAATGACTTAGAAGGGAAGTTTTGATTACAAGTCCCTGTTCCTTGAAGACACTGAACACTCATCATCTGTGTTTCAGCAGCAGCCAGCAGCATTGCAGACAGGATCCCGCAGTTTCCACTTCACCATTGATGGCAATAAGAGGTCGTCTGCCAAAGTTTCAGATGCAGTAAGTTCATGGCTCTTTGTTCCATTATAAGTGATTTCTTGACTTTGTGGAGTGGTGTTGTATGCCAGTTTTTAATATATGTGAGTAATACACAGGTCTTACTTGAAATAAAA